CGTGGACAAGGGCAACGGCAGCAGTGACGGGCCACCAGCCTCAGTGTTTGCTGCTAAATTGGGCATTGCCACCCCAAGCAGGGCGCAGCGAAGGAGGGGAGGGGAAGGCACCATGTTTTCAAGCAGCCAGCCCTGGGGGAAGCGTTGGTGTGGGCGCATGGCTGGTCCGCTGAGGTAAAATATGGATGTGCGGTGGCAAAACCTGGCTTTGCCGGGGTGAAATGTGGAGTGCTGAGGGAAAATGTGGATGTGCTGAGGGAAAATGAGGTAAAGTGCAGGTCTGAGAAGAATGTGGTTCTGCCGAGGGGAAGTGCAGATCTTCTGTGGCAAAATAGGGATCTACTCAGGAAAAATGCAGGTCTGCTGAGGAAAAATGGGGGTCTGAGGAAAAGGGTGGACCTGCAGAGGAAAAATGTGGATGTTCTGAGGAAAATTATGGTTGTACTGGGTTAAAAGCAAGAATCGCCCTAGATGCAAAGTTCTCCGAGACCTTCCTCCATGCCGGGAGCACCTACGGGCTGTGTGGTCCCTGCGGCCATGCCCATGGGACAGGGTGCTTGGACCTTAATCTGGTGGCAAGGGGGGCCATGCCACACTCCGCTGTGCCATCGTGGGTGTGCCAGCCACCGGCCATGGGTGCTGGGGACTGCCTGGGTGCGTGGGTGGCGTTCAGCAGCCTGGAAGTGCTGCAAAACAAGACGTGACGGTCTGAGGCTCTGGTGATGCCTCCTCCTCCCCACACCTTTCACACCCCAATTTTTGTCTTCCTCTCCCATGGCTGAGTATCCTACAGCTGCTGTCTACGCCCATCACAGGCTCACTGGGGCCATGGGATGGACGAGGGTGCAGGACGCCCTCTGAGGCTCTACATGGTGGGTCACAGCCCCATTGTGCCCAGTTCTTCTCCGTCCACACGCCTCCCTGGGCCACTTCCTACATGTTAGGGCTGTTATCGGGGGCGCAGAGGCCGCATCCACGGTCTTTCAAGGAGGCTGGGTGTGTGGATTGGGATGAAGGATATCAATGGAGAAGAGGTGCTTTGCCACCCCCCCACCTCCCCAAGGAAGTGTTGTGGGATCTTCACCCCCATGGTGGACCCTGGGGGTAAACCCTGCTCAAGACCCACACATGGTCTTGTCTCCCTCAAGGAGGCCAACGGCGCTGCTCAAACAAGGTCTCCTGGAGCTTTATGCACGAAGGATGATGGTGGCATTCATTCATCGGGTTGACCATGGTCTAGAAAGAAGATGCTGGGCTCCTCCAGCACTCAGCTCCTGCGCGGGTGGCTGCAGCCCAGGGGAAGGACTCTGGGTGTAGACACGCTCCTCCATGGACCTGGCGATGCTGCTGCCCCTTGTCCCACCACTGCTCACCTGGTTCCCCAGTCAAAAAAACCCTGTGTCTGTCTATCCTCCTGTGTTTGTGCTTAAGAGCTCTCCTTCCACCTACGCAAGGAGCTATTTTTAGCAGACACTAATCAAGTGTCAGCGCTGGCTCTGAGCGTGGCTTTCAAGCCGAGGGCTCATGCTTTCGCCGAGCACTTGCAGGAACTCGGGTGTGTGTTTTCTTTTAAATTTAGTTGAGAATTTATACAACAAGCCGCAGAGCGGTGGCGCTTATTT